TTTTTAAGAAAGCTGGTGTGATGGCTCATTTCTATAATCCCAAAACATGAGAGGCCAAAGCAGGAGGACTGGGTCTTGGAGGAAGCCTGCACTATAAAATGAGACATTATTTAAACAACAACAACAACAACAACAACAACAACAACAAAACCCACAATACAAGAAAAGGTAAATCCCCTCACACCCTGACTTTCTGTACTCAAGGGTACTTTGCACACCCTGTAGCATTTGCACACCCACACAAGGCAAATGGGAATTTGTGACACTGTGGTACTTCCTTAAAACAGACAAAACATTTTTTATTAATTATTTTTATTTTATGTGTATGATTGTATTGCCTGCATGTATGTGAGTGCGCCCTTGTTGTGCAATGCTGCAGAGGTCAGAAGAGGGCTTCAGATTCCCCTGGAACTGGAGTTAAGGACGGTTCATAGCCACCATGTGGGTGCTGGGAATCAAACCCGAGTCCTCCGCAAGTGCAGTCAGTGCTCTTAACTGCTGAGCCATCTCACCAGCCCCTGGCACAGCTGTTAAAGGCTCAGGCTCACCACCAAAAAGACAAGGTTATCTACTTTTACCTCAATAACATCAACTGCAGAATGCCGAACCATAGTTTTTCTGTGTATTTATGAAAGACAGAAAGAAAGGAAGGAAAGAAAGAGGGAGGGAGGGAGGGAGGGAGGGAGGAAGGAAGGAAGGAAGGAAGGAAGGAAGGAGAAAGAAAGAAGAGGGGAAGGAGGAGGGAGGGAAGAAGATCCAGAGGGGGGAAGGAGGAAGAAGAGGAAGAAAAAGGAAAGAAGGAAGGAAGGAAGGAAGGAAGGAGGGAAGTTAATCTAGTCATGATCATGCACTTGGGAGGCCTGGTCTGGACTATATAGAAAAATCTTGTTTGGAAGGAAGGAAAGAAAGAAGAAAGGAAGGGCAAGGAGGGAGGAAGAGAGGGAGGGAAGGAGAGAGGGAGGGAAGGAGGGAGAGAGGGAGGGAGGAAAGAAAGGAAGAGAGGAAGGAAGGGAGGAAAGGAGGGAGGAAGAAGGAAGGGAGGGAGGAGGGAGGGAGGGAAAATGTAGTTTTTATGCTGTAAATGCAGTATGGTCACGATGCACTCTGGGAGATGTAGGAGGGCAGTCATGGCAGGAAACCTCCTAGACCCTTAGACAGGGTCCATCATCGTGGGGAAGACATGGCTGCACGCGTGCTCATAGCTGTGACAATAGGAACTTGCTTATATCTGTACAAATCACGGAGAGAAAAAAGAGGGAGAGAGAGGGAGAGAGAGGAGGAGGGAGAGAGGGAAGGAGGGAGGGAGGGAAAGAGGGAGGGAAGGAGAGAGGGAAGGAGGGAGGGAGAGAGGGAGGGAAGGAGAGAGGAAGGGAAGGAAAGAGGGAGGGAGGGAGGAAACAGAACAAAGCTAAGGGCTGTTGGGCTTTAAGATGCAGAAATAACAAAGGAAGGGGACCTGGACTGATAGTCAACAAGGTCACAAGACACCTGGCACCCAGATTGGATTCTATCCCCTCACACACACACAGCCACACATACCTTTCCTCTTAGAGCAAGCTCTAGTTCTCATAATAGCTCTGATTTCCAATCCATTTTTACCTCTTAAATAGAATTGTCTTATGACAGTGGAAGATTTTTTATAATAGGCATTTATAGACAGAAGGTAAGAATAGAAGTCAGAAGTTGGTTGTGATAAATGACAAATCCTGTCAATGATCCAACTGGTACTCACATTAAAACTTTGAAAACAAGAAAGTCTCTTTACATTAACAAAGCTACCCTAAGTCAAAAAAAAAAAAAAAAATTAAAAGAAAGAAAGAAAAAGAGAAAAGAACAAATAATCTTCCTTCCTTTTCTGTTAAACTTTGAAGTACAATTGCTCTAAATTTTAATATATACCATCTGAGGCCCCATTTTGATAAGATGTCCTTTGGGATCCACCCCCGACCTCTGTCTTTAGATGATGTGAAATTATAAATTCACAAAGCATTCTTCTCACTCTTTAGTGGAGATGTTTCCATGACAGTGCAAGAGTCATCAATGCCTTTAAATACACCCACACTTCTAAACAGATAACATTATATCCCATAAGAAACAGGCTGCCAAAGGTAGCGTGACCTCAGGGCAGAAAGGGAAGAGAAACTTTTTGAAAACTAGAATTCATAATTCAAACTAATACATGATAGTTGCATCGTGCTTGGCATTGTTCTAATGACTTTACATGTAGAAAGACACTTAGTCCTTTCCAGTTCCTGAAAAGTAGTCATTAGTATTATCCCTCCTTAAGAGTTTGGAAGACTAGGGCCAAAAGAATTTAAGTCACCAGTAGCCTGTAGCCATAGCGGGGACAGAATCCAAACCCAGTATCCTGGTTCTAAAATTGACACCACTACTACAGTTTGGGAGCAAAAGAAGAAACTGGGTCCATCCAAAGATGATCAGGACACAGATGAAGGGATCTGCTGTGTTTTCTAGCCACCCTCTGGAGCTTCCTTTATGGGTATTTTGTGATGATCAGACGGCCCTTGGCAATTGCTGTGAACACAGGCTTCCAGAAGTGTGCCTTTGAGTTCCTCCCACTCAGCTACCTGCAGAGAAATGTACTTGAGACTCAAAGCCTAAGATATTCTGTTCAAACTGATCCTGGAGGAAATGGCTTCCTCCAGCCAGTCACAGTCTTATCCTTCACCACAAACCAGCATCATCAAGCATTCTGCCTAAAAGGAGCAGAATCCATGATTGACTCATAGTCTGTTTCCTCCATGGGGAAGATATCAAGGAATTGTGAAATGGTCAAAATGCCAGCAATAGAGGGAGGTGAGTCCTTTGGCATCAATACCAATATACTGAAAACCATCTTCTTGATCTCCAGGGGTATTCATTGCCTTTATAACAAAACAATGCAACAAAAAAGTCTCACTGACACTTACTCAAGTTCAGTCAAATGAGTGAATACGACTGACATTCATACTGCCAGAAGGCGCTATGCAGATGGTTGGGGAAGAAAGGATCCCCTATGATTCTTCTCAACAATGGACACTGCATGCTGCACACTATGTATATGCCAAGCAATGCCTGCAAGTGCAATAATGGCTCAACCAACATACGTACAACTGACAAACTTCTAATTGGATAAGGCCTGCTCCTAGGGGTGGAACACACATCTGGTGCTGTAGACCAGGCCTTGTGTCAAGAATGGCTACTGGCCCTGGTGAGGAAGCCATCAGGAGTATACTGTTTAATGAGTATAGTACACCTACTGGGATATCTTCTAGGCGTTTGTATTTACATTCACATTTGTTTAGATGTATCTACTTCCTTCCATTTGTCTTTATAGTAGAAGAAACACCACTGAGAAAGATCAGTGGCCACAGCCTAAAGACAACTAGCAGGGAGGCCCAAGAAGTCACTATCTCACCATGATACAA